TTTAAAATACATTCGTTCATTCATTCATTCATTCGTTCATTCGTTCAATGGATATGGGTCAGTTAAGCTTTTAATGCCCACATTTTCGAAATTTTAATAATGCTATGGTATATTACAATTACAATAATAAGAGGACTTTGATGACTAAATTCACAAGACATGAGACGTAAATAAAATAATTTATTTTGTGTATTTAAAGCATATGTGAATATTTGAACATATAAAGAAATTATTTGACAATATAAGATAATTCCAAAAATTTGTTTGGCAATGTTCTTTTGATATAAGTAAAGACAAGAATGTATATTATTTCCGAAGTATTTGAGCAAATAACAGTATTTTATATAAATTAAAACAAAAATCTCTAGAAAATTACTTTTAAATTGAGAACGTAATATAATGGATATGATAAATAGTACAACTAATCTAGAGCCCATCGCATAAACATACATGATTCATTTAGGTCCTGAAAGTAGATTCATAATAGTGTCGAAATTGAAAGGACGTGCTGGGTAATGCTTTGGAGGCGATTATCGCGACTAGGGACACAGTTGGATTCAGTACTGTGTCGGATTTAAGAAGCGCATAATATGTATAGAGTATAAGAGGCAGATGTCACTACAAGAGGTATCGGAAAGAGACATATAAAGAAGGAAAACTGAAGAGCAAACATATGATTTCTGGCAAGTGTCGGACATGGACTTTTTTCTTCCCCCTTTGACATATAGCTAAGAAACTATTAATTGGTGGCATGTCCCTTAAGTCCCTTACTACCCTTAAGTCGTTAATTTAACACATAAAAATTAAATGTTTTTTTAATAAAAAATTGCACTTATAAATTTGTGGTAATTATATAATTATATTTTTTTTTCATAAAGACTTACTTATATTACAGATATTTTGGTATACTCTTCGTAGACCATCTTTAATGTATAATAATAAATGAATCACTGTATTGAGCAGTCCAGTAACCATATTATTGTAAACCGAGTGTCAAATAATACTAATTAGTGACACACTTTTTTTTTGATTGAAGTACAGAGTTAGTGTACATGGTTAGTTGCCATGAAGGCTTAACATGACTGTGTTTTCATTAAACTTATCAAGATAAAGAGCCTATAAAAATTCTATTGGAAAGATTCGGCAGATACCACATGTTGTTAAATGCTTAGATTTAACTTCTTCATTGATGCTAAGCAAGACCTAATTGGTCATAGCACCCGATAAGAAAAGGCAGTTCCAAGTTGAATGAATGTAAATAAATACTGTTACTCTACCCGCTTCTATTTGAATATCAACCACAGCCACTAAAATACTCACTTTAAGGTGTCAACTTTTATTGATCGGTACAGCCGAAGCTGCGAGCTTTGACCTCCGTTACGCCAAATATATAACTCCGGACGAATGTGGCAAGAAATACTAAATCACTGTTAAGAACTATTTTAAGATTCCACTCAAAAACTCGACAACTTTGACAGTATCAAACAATAAACTCAACTCACAGATATAAGCAGATTAATATTATTCTTATTTAAGCTTAGGAGACTATTTATCCTTTTGTCACAAATTTTCAAGCAGATATGCTTTGAAAGGTACAATCAATTGTATTAATTCCTAAAAATATTTTTAAGACATATTTGATATACCATTTAAAAATAATTAACATATGTTTAGAAATCCAAAAAAAAAGGTTATATAGTAAATAAATTTTATTATCAAAATCTAAAATTTACAATAAAAACTAAAGTTACAAAATAGATAATACTCGAAACAGCATTGTATAGTTAGCCAAACTTCTATAATATACCTAAAATTTTTGTTGATGTCTTTTCAACATATTCGAACCTTTCTAACGTTTAAATAGTTTCTTTTTGTTATAAGACGCGCCACTTTCAGCAAAAAAAAAAAAAAAATAACAGAAAATGTTTTTTTAGTACTCCCCAAACTTACTTTGGTTATCTCTAGTTCTTAACCAGTACGCTGAACAACATTTGACAACAAAAGCAGTGGTCCTGAAACTTTGTAGGCACTTAACTAACTGAATTACACCAACGAAAAACTTTTCATAAATGTGTATGGGCGTACCAACTGAAGCGAAGCGAATGAGAATTATAATTCATAAAACAATTTTAACAATAATTATTAGCGAAACTAGTACAGATGAGTGATATAAACTTAAAACCATTAAGTGGCGCATATATTTTAATAGCAGGGAAGTTGACAACAACGATTTCATCGCTAACTATCATCATCAACTAATTTTTGTTTTTCCTACCTGTCAGTTCTGACCGCAGGCGACTAATATGTGGCAAATAGAAATAGTACCGATGATGGAATGTATTAACAAAAAATACTTTATTTGTTTCTGTTTTGGATTGACAACATCACATTCGTCCCTTCAATGTAAAAGTTCGCCTGGTTGTATCACTCATTTATATTTTTTATTGTTATTTCTGAAGCTTTTTCCAGATATTTTTTCAGATGGAAAATATCAGTCACTGTTAAAAAACTAATGTGTCACTTTAATTGAAAATACAGTTTTCGATTTGCAAAACATAATTGCAGAAACCATTCACAAAATGTTTCTATACGGACTCTTACACTTAAGTAGAAATATTATTTTGTACCTATTTATCATTTTGAAACTTTGAAAAAAAATAATATTATTCATGTCATTTTTTTGTTTTTAATATAATATTACACATGTCTTTTTTTTGAATTCTATTTCAAATATTTTTAGCTTGATTTATGGAATAAAAATTTGGCTACAAGACAAATTCTTTTCTTGCCAAATTTTGTTACAAGGCATTTGTACCCCAGAAGTTATACGTTGCCTTAAATGCTTGAAATAGTTTTGAATACTAGAATATGCATTCGTACAGATACAAATACATATATATATGTTATATGTATGACAATCAACATCACTAACTCAAAACCAAAAGTTCAAACCTATATTTCAAAACTTTTGGGTGTTAATGATAAATACGTATATATGTGAGCACAATAAATTATATATTTATTTTCAAAAAAATTTTTCCAATAATAATCTAGTCGTGTATGAAACAAAAACTTAAAAGATAAACTTAAGATTATATTTTTAATATATAAATTATTTGAATAAATATGGTGTTTTGTAACAACAAATAAAAATGTTAAGCAATTATTTTTTTTAAATCCTTTACTTAATCCGCTCTTAACTTAAATATTTACATAAGTCAATGAAAAATAAAAACATAGCAACTATACTTGATGAAAAAAGACGCCATTAAAGTCGGAGCCCATCAATTCACAGTAAGTTTTAAAACTCTACCATATAGGCTCTAACATATTTGATATTAATACCATTAATACCATTAGCAGTTTAACTTCTGTACCACCTTCTTGAATTAATATCTTTTAGGACCTTAGATATTCATTGATATTAATTACAGTTAGTGTTCTTAGATTATTGAACAGCAATTTACCTAGGAGAACTGTTTTCTACCTCCAGAGAACAGGGTACATACACAGAAAATTGAAAATAGCTTCTTATATCTATGCCTAATTGCAGCTTTGACATTAAATATTGTGTAGGATTATAATTTTGGTTGTTAGCTATACAATAGGTCATAAGCTAGTTATTACTTATATTAGTCTATAGCAAACCGTTCTATTTCTTGGAACCACTGCATTAGACACTTTCAAAGCCTATTGTGATGTGGATTTTCGCTGTGTACAGGTTTGTATGGTACATACTATAACATCCGATTTCAAAAATGTTCATGAAGAAACAGTGGCCGATAAAAAGTTTTTCTATCGCTGCAATTAAAGGGTGCTTGATTGGTTTAGAATTACGAAAGTTCTTATAAGCCTATTCAGACTAACGCATAATTTTATCTATATAATTGCAATTGTATTTATTTATATTAATTTAAAAGTACTCATATAAAAACAATAAAAACATTTTATAGGTAAGTTGTGTATTATAAACTCTCTCTTTCGAAAATTACAAAAAAGTACAAAAAATCTGGTAGATATAAAGCTTTCTCGCTAAATTATATTACAATCAACCTTCTTTCGCTTTACCTATCTACCAAATAAATGAGCAATTAAATATTTTAAATGAATTTAGCATAAACAAAATAATTTCACGAAAACAAATAGAATTAAAAGCAAATTCTAATTAAACAAATTTAAATAAAAACTAATTTAATTTGTTTTTACCCATGCGTTTGTGTAAACGCATTCCCTTATAGAAATGTAAACTGATTATTTATTTAAAATTATCATATATTGAAGTACATAATCGTATACATATAAATTTACTGCAATACAAATAAACATTATAGCCCAACTATTAAACATAATTTTTCAATTATTGAGATAGATACGTACAATGTATACTTATGCCCCGGAGTATAAATTCATTCTATTATTGTATCTAAACCTTGAAAAAGTAATATATTTCAAAAATAACAATTTCACTGCATTTTCTTAAACGAGTAATTTATACACAACGTAAACCCGAAGTGTATTCTGCAAAATTTCCATTAAATTTATTAAATTCTTCTCTGTCTTCTTATTA